AAATCTTCACCAGCGACACATCCAACAGAGGTTTAATAACCAGAATTTATAACGAACTCAAAAAACAGAGAACCAAGACAAGAAGCAACCCAATTAAAAGATGGGCTAAGGAGCTGAACAGAGAGTTCTCAAAAGAAGAAGTAAAGATGGCTATGAAACATCTTAAAAGATGTTCAACATCCCTAATAATTAGGGAAATGCAAATTAAAACCACTTTAAGATTCCACCTTACTCCAGTCAGACTGGCTAAGATCAAGAAAACAAATGATACCAAATGTTGGAGAGGATGTGGGGAAAGAGGAAATCTCATCCACTGCTGGTGGGGCTGCAAACTTGTTCAAACACTATGGAAAGCAGTGTGGAGAACTCTGGAAAAACCACAAATGAACATAGCATTTGACCCAGTTATACCACTCCTTGGTATATACCCAAAGAACTCATCCTATCGCAGAGACACTTGTACATCCATGTTTGTTGCTGCTCTCTTCACAATAGCTAAGAGATGGAAGCAACCTAAGTGTCCCTCAATTGATGAGTGGATAATGAAAATGTGGTTCATTTATACAATGGAGTTTTACTCAGCAGTAAAGAAAGATGAAATCATGAAATTTGCAGGTAAATGGATGGAACTAGAAACTGTTATACAAAGTGAAGTAACATAGACTCAGAAAAAAAATCGACAAATGTTCTCCTACATATGTGATCCTAGAACCAGACTCTGATAAGTAAGTATGCAACTTGACATAACTGCAGAAACTAATAATTTAGAGTCAGAGAAAAATAAAGATGTTTTCCTGGTAAAGGGAAAGAAAGGACCTGAGAGAGAACAATGGGAGGCAGGTGTTACTAAAGGTGAAATGGATAGAAATGGAGGTATTTAAATGGGAGAGGGTATATGAGGAACCTAGGGCATAAATGGAAAGAAGGAGCTCAAGAGAGTTAGGACCACAGGAGAAGGGTATTAGTAAGGGAGAAAGGGGGGCAATGGGGGCACCTTAAGAGGGAAAACCATGATTGAGGGATGAGACAATGTGAGAGATAAACAATGCTAGCTAGCTTTGAAAACCAGTGAGAACCATATTACTCCTACAATCTACTGAAAAATTATACATAGAGGACCAAGAAATATATGTCTAGGTAAGGTTTATCTGAGAACAACTGGTCTTTGCCTAATATTTATCTACATGACACACAGTAATTAAAAATACCAGACTGGTGGAACTAACCTTCTTGGGTATTTAACAGACATACTTTGAGGTCTATAATAATTTGGTCAGAGTGACATAAAAGACCCTACTCTGTCTGATAAGCATCTATTATACCTTAATGGTGCAATTTTTGAATCACAGAAAGGACTTCAGATTGATTTCCCCCAATTTTTCAACTCATTAGGTTGCCTTCATCACTTTAACCAGTCAAGATCGTTTTGTGAACTGATTCTGTCATCCAACCTTGAAAGAAAAAAAGAACCTAGTATCACCTGTCTCACCATATTCAAGTCAATGATGCTTCCCATCCCCCTCTGTGGCCACTGAAAGCTGTGCACTGCTCACAGCTACCAGGCATTCTGCACTGAGCTTGGGCATGGCTGCTCTCCCCAGGCAATTTCCCAGCCCACTGAAATCAATGTGAAGTTGGGCACAGTGATCTAAAATCTCAGCACTTAGGAGGTGGAGGCAGAGGGATCTTGAATTCAAGACCACCTTCGGCTACATAGTGAGACAGTCTCCAAAAAATAAGAGCTAAGAACTTAGCTCAGTGGTAGAGTGTTTATCTACTATGGGTTAGATCCCCAGCACTGAAAACACACACATTCACACACAAAAGCACACCCCAACTAACCAACCAGACAAAAATCACTGTGAAAGTGCTGCTGTTCTTATGAAAACTCGGGAAAAATAACAAAGGCCAGTCCCTACATTCACCACAAAAGTGCTTTCAAGCAAGGTACAGAGGTGATATCTAGAAAAGAGTAGGGGCAGATTATAAAAACAAATCATAGAAGGTTCTAGACTCAGAAACTTCATGAGTTTTTCTGAAGAATCACTTCACTTTATGGAAGCAAACTAGAGATAGGAGCGATACCACAAAACCTGGCCACCAGACCCAAAGGCAAAGAAAAAGGTTGGCCCTGCATCAAAAGCTTGGCAAATGGCTGTGTGTTTCCAGGTCTGATGTTAGAACTAAATATTTAAATATTTATCTGACTTGTTTGATTGTATAGCTAACAACTACCTTCAACTGCAGGACATTAAAGAGCTTCCCCTAAGGGCAGCCCAGCCCCTACACACCCCAGCTTCCTGCCATTCATAACTCTACCTCCTGCGACCAATGACCCTGAAAGGAGTAAAAATGTTGAGAAAGGCAGGCCTGGCACTAGAAATCTGTATCAGCGGGTTTGCTTCCTTCTTGTCATGTTCCTGGTTTCAATGTGTTTCCCCCAAAATCTTGTGTTGAAAATTTAATGCCCAAATTTGTATGTTAATAATATTCGAAGGTGGGCCTTTGAGAGCTGACTATGATTATATGACGCCATGAGAGTGGAGACATTAGTGACTTTGTAAGGAGAGTCAAAGACTGGGACTAGTCTATATACTACCTCTATATAACTAGTAATAATCAGATATATAGAGATTAGAAACGCATGTGCAAACATCTTAATGTCAATTGCATTGAAAATGAATTTGTTTGTATGAAACTGTGTATTTTAATAATGAAATGGAGATCTTTTTCAAAGGTTAAAAAAAGTAGAAGCTAGATATAGTTGTATAAACTAATAATCCTAGCACTCAGGAGGAAATTATATTTCCACACATTTGGGGTCAGCATGGGTTACAAAGTGAATTCAAGACCAGCGTGGGCTATACAGTAAGATCTTACATTAAACAAAATACTTTACAAAAGAAAGGACTTGCTGACATGGTGCATACTTTTAATTCCCACACTTGCGAGGCAGAGGTGGGCATATTCCTGTAAGATTGAGACTAGCCTGGTCTCCATAACAAGTTCCAGGCCAGCTATGGCTACTGGGAGACCCTGTCTCAAAAAGACAAAAATAATAAATAAATAAATAATAAATAAATAAATAAACCGAAATATGGATGAAATTATGCATCCTGAAATGGGAATGTTACACTGGATTGTCCAAATTGGCCCTCAGTGTAATCTCATATAGCCTTCTAAACAAGATAACGACATTTGACACAAAGAGGAGAGAAGTATGTGTGCATAAAGGCAGATATTCAAGTGAGGTAGCCGCAAACCAAGGCATAAGAGTCACCAGTGGCTGGAGAATGAAAGGATCAGACTCTCTCATTAAAAACCCAGGTCGAAACCTGATTCTATTAGCACCATGTTTTCAGACCAGGGGAACTGTATTTGGATACCTGACCTACAAAATTATGAAAGAATTATGTTCTGTCGGGTTAAATGATCAAGTTTGTGATGCCTTTTTTTTACATCAGCCATAGAAAACAAATACAATAACATTGTAGATGTTGTGTAAGGACTGTGGTATACTCTGAATTCCAGGGAGAAAATGTGAATACAAATTCTTGTTCTAGTTACTGAGTTAATCATTCTACGTACCAAGCAATGGCTTCACCTGAAAATTGGAAGTAATTATACCTAATTTACAAGGAACTTCATAATATTAATAATAATGGTAGTACCAGATATATAGCGAGAATTATCTGCACTATTTCTAAAAATTACACAATAAGTAATTATTGTGATCTCTTTTGGGCACATGAAGAGATGAGGGCCTACTCAGGAGCACACAGCAACAAGACAGACCCCACAGAATCCACATCTCTACTGTGTTGCCTTTCTGCTTCTCTGGATTACACAAAACAGGGAAATCAAAAGCCCTTGCGAGCTCTTAATTACTGTGAGAAATGACTGTTTTAAAGGAAATTAAACTATGTTCATTTTTGTTTGTACAGGAATGTGAATATTATCACTCTTTTCCTGTATCTGGACCTAACAGAAAACCTTAATTGGCTTTCTTAAAAGTGATCTTGGGGGTAATCCACAACTATCTAATTGGACTTAAAACCTTCTCAGTGGGAAAGAACTCATGGGTGGTACTGAAAATGTAGCCAAATATTCAAGGCTGGAGAGGTCATAGATTCTAGAGAAACCCAAAGTCTGTCACATCTCTGGACAAATGTAATTTCTTACTGTATGCTAAACAAGTATCCTTATATTTATAGACAAGTATACATCTAACCATTCATCAGAGAAGCTTATTTTTGCAAAATATAGAGACCATTGCAGAATCCCACAACTGGTGAAACACAGAAAATATGTGTCTCTGAGATATTCAGGCCAAAGTAACATATCTACAATGAAATCTCTACGCCTAAGCCTCACAGAACATAGCAAAACAAGGTAGAGAGAATACTAATGTATCTCGAAACACTCATAAGTGAAGATTCCTCATGCAACAGAGGGTAATTAACACAGGCCATGACTGGCCAAAGGGTAGATAATAGGAGACTAGAGAGCATCCCTGGATAAGACTTCTATATTAAACCTCACCCACCCAGGATTCAGGGACTAATATCAAAAAGGGGATAAAAAGATTGTAAGAGTGAAGGATGTTGCATGATCACAGGGAAACAGTCTTCCAGGCTTTGGGGAACTGGCACCTATGAACTTACAGCAATGGTGACAGAATGCACAAGGCCATGCTGATTCAATGAGATAGAAACCCAGCATAGAACTGGGGAAATGGGTACAAAGCCTCAACTTTAGCTGAGGAACTATTAGCAGTTGATCACTGCTGGTGAGCGAGAGCTGGTCTTCTTTAAGGGAGTGACCAGCTCCAGTGGATGAACTCACACCAAGGGACATCTGGGCATACAAACTTGACTTGATAGACCTTAACATATATGACAGAATACATGAAATCTGGTAGCATGGATATGGAGGGAGGTGCATATAAGGGAGGTTGTCTAAATATGATTAAGGTGTATTGTATGAAATGCAAAAATTCAAACATATATATAGTTTTTTTTAACTCTACCAAAAGAGAGAAGAACGATCATTAATGGGAAAAGGCAGTTGTAGCAAATCAAGACCAAGAGCTGGCTTCATGCTCAGGAGAAAAGGGTACTTCTCCTCCTCATGGTTTCTGCTACTCTACACAGTCAGAAAATCTTCTCTAGTAATGAACTGTAGATATGATCCCTGAAAGTATAGTCTTTCAATAAAATATACTTTTTAAAGAGAAAGAATAATACAAACACCACTGATGTAGAACTAAAAAAACAATGTCTGAATCTCTGCACTCCACTATGCTTTCAGAACAGAAACAACCAAAAATGGCATGCTTCTGCATACATAAACCTGAGAAAACTCAATGAGGGTTTATGCTTATTATGTATATTTTTGCCAAACTACTGCGTTAATCCGCGGTGTATCATTGCTTCAATTCCTTCACATTCACCTTAGTTTTTTCCTCTCTTCTGTTCCTGTCTAGTAGATAATTTTCTAGGCCAATCTAAAATTCCTGGTATACTCTATCCACAAGAACCTAATAACTCTAGGAGCAGGAGCACCTGCATTGCACAGTGTTTATGCAGAGTTAAATTCATTTATTTTTTTTCTCTTTGTAAATTATCTGTTATGTATTCTAAGATATGAAATGCATACCTTGTTTAATTTGCAAATGTCTTTAACTAAATTATCAGAGATCTTCAGAGTAGTTCAAAGGCCAGAATTAAACACTAAGTTTTAACTTATAAATTCTAAATCTTTGTCATTTTCATATCATTTTCTAATAATTGCCAGACAGTCTGGAACAGAACAGCATCTATAGTTGTCTTAATGAACTTTAGGGAAATAGGCTCATTAATGCAGCTTTGGAAGCAACTTCCATTTTCTACATCATAAGACATGATTTTTACCATCTTTCAACACTCACATTAAAATGCTTTAGATTCCAAAAAGGTGCCAAGTCACAGAATTTGTGAAAATCCAGAAATCCCTCCAATTGCTTGCAAAATGCAATTTCCATCTTATTCTTTCTCAATATTGTAAGTAAAGGGCATATCCCTATGTGTGACTTGGAACTGGGCATGGTGTTTTCTTATGCTTTTTGGTTTAAATAAGTGCTAATTAAGAAAAGAGAACAGAAAGTTTAACCAATGCTCCCTAATAGCAGATCACATTCTTTCTGCTTAAAGTAACACTTATGTCTCATTTTTTGCAATCTAATTGTTTTCTGTATGGCTTAGGGGGACAAATCACTAAATTAATGATTCAAAGAATTGAACAGACTTGTTTAAAATGTCAATCCAGCCAGGCAGTCATTACTGGGGATAAATGAGAATAGTTATACAGCCATATTTTTCATTTATATCACACTTAAGATTTTTTTGCAACTACTTTTACACTTCTTTCCCATTTGAAATGATAAAAAGTGCAACAGCAATCCTTGGGTTTTTCTTGCTCTTGTGTCAAGTTCAATGAAAACATTTTGATAGGATACATGCTTGCACTTTCACAGTTAATTTCTCTCACCTTCCCCAAATCCTGGCCCTGATAGATCTTATCTTTAACATTTAGTATTTGATTCACGATGTTTTTGTTTTTGTTTTTGTTTTTCGCATTCACTATGGAGTAAAGAAGTATGTGAGGAAGAATCCAATCGAACTACCAGAAAATGTTGCCTGAGATGGTCTGGACCAATAATATCAGACCTACAGATGAATAAGTAGTTGAATAATTTCATTATAATGAGATCAAATGTCATTCTTGAGCTCTGTAGCCACCAACATCATAGGCAAATTTATGACAAGAGAACTAAGCAGGAAAATGTGAATAGCAGGGGTTAAGAATAAATGCACCATTCAAAGACTCAGCTTTGAAACAGTGGGTTCTTTAACACCTGTAAGGTGTAATGTGCTTTCCTACATTCTATGTGTCTCTGCACGTGGTGCTCTCTGGTACAAGTCAGTAAACAGAAGGCTGCAAAATGAAGAGCGAAAGTGGTCGTGTTCCTCCATGGCATGCAACTCTCTGCTGCTATCACCAGGCTGAAATTTTAGTTATTCAATGTACTTTCTTTGATCTTAATTGAAGAAGATACTTAAATGAATGCTACACAGATTCAAAGCAACATCCATCAAAATTTCATTTATATTAATCACAGATATACAAAATTAATACTAATATGCATATGGAAGTACAACAGACCATGACTAGGCAAAGAAATCTTGTATAAAAAGAGAAATACTGGGGACATCATGATCCCTGATTTCAAATTACACTACAGAGTGATAGTAAATAAATTGGGATGATATCAGCACAAAACAAATATGTAAAACAATGGAATAGAACAGAAATAAATGCATATAGCTACAGTCACCTAAGTTTCAACAAAAGAATCACAAACCTACATTGTAAAAAGGTAGCCTTTTCAACAAATGAGCCTGGGCAAACAATGAAAACTAGATCTGTATCTCTCACCCTACACCAAAATCAATTGTAAATAGATGAAAGGCCTTAATGCAAATCCTGAAACTTTAACACTGTTAAAGGAAAACATGCAAAACATATAGGTACTTGCATAGGCAAGTACTTTCTTTAAAAGTACTTCAATAGCTTGTGAAATAAGACCAAAAGTAAACAAATGGATTATATGAAATTTAAAAGCTTCTGTACAACAGAAGAAAATAATCACCAGAATGGTCAGAATTTCAGAATAGAAAAAAAAGCTTTGCCAATTATACATCAGACAGAGGATTAATATATAGAATATATAAAGAATTGCAAAGTTAAATACATATATTAGTTGTATATATCATATATCAAACCAATAAATGGACTATGAAACTGAATAGGCATTTCTGAAAAGAAGAACTACAAGTGGCCAATAGATATTTGAAATTTTGTTCAACATCTTTAGCCATCAGGGAAATGACATTTTATTGTTTGGTCACCAATGCCTTATCTGGAATGAATCTACCTTTGTTTATGCTTCCCCAGAAAAAGTCAACACACAAATCACAAAGGGAACTAATTAGGGGAGTTTGGGGTACAGAAAGAGGGAGTTAAGGGGAATGGAGAAGGGTAACCTGAGAGGGGGCTTCTGTTAAACAATCTCAATTGTCAACATGAGGATATCTATAATCATATAGAGATAGGCTTTCAGGCATGCTTTGGAGTATTATCTTGAGGAGATTATTTAAGGTGGAAAGACCCAGCCATTGTGGATAGTAGCACCCACTCCCCTGGGCTAAGAACCTAGGCTCTATCAAAAGCAAAATTTTGGTTGATTACAAGCAGTTTATTGCTTTCTGATTGCTAAATGTGGATGCAAAGTGCCCAGCAGCTTTAAGCTACTGCTCTAAGTCCTGCCTTCCCTGCCATGATGGATTTGCCCTTGGAGATATAAGACAAAGTAAACTCTTGGTTCCTTGTTACTTTGCCCAGGGTCCTTTATCAGTACAACATGAAAAATAATGATACAAGGCTAAATAAGAGCAAAATAAAATGACATATATGTAGGAAAATACAAAAAAGTCCATCAAGATAAATAAATAAGGTTATCAAAGTAAATGCTCTATGTCAAGCACTGACAGTGATTCTCTTTCTTGTACTAGCCACTGTTTTCATTCACCCTAAAAGATACAACGATAAACATGTGGTGTAACCCATATGTGAAAGGTGAATAGAACATCCACAGTCTTTAATACAGAAGTCATTTTTATTAAATAAACTAGAAAGTACTGTACTACATTTGTAGTTGGAAAATAACCTTACAACTATCGGGTTGTGGGCTGGAGAGATGATTCAGTGGTTAATAGCACCTGATGCTTTTGCAGAGGACCCAGGTTCTGTTCCCAGTAACTATATGGCAGCTAACAATCATCTGTAACTCCAGCTGAATGGGATCTGATGCCTTCTTCTGATGTCTATGAACCTTGCAAGACATGGGTGCATATATA